CCCCCCCCCCCCCCAACCCGACATGCCCCCATCCCCAGGGATGCCGAGATCCACATGGTGGTCGGCGAGGACCCTGGGAGGGTGGGCATGTTCACGGCGGTGGACGAGCATGGCAATAAGACTGCGTGCCCGTCCAAGGAGTTCCGCGCCATGTCGGGCTGCTCCCAGTACGAGAAGACGGTCAAGGGGTGGCATGCCAAGGCTCCTCCCTGCGTGCAGAACCTCCACAAGTGCGTTGCGACGGTTTTGTCAGTGGGGATTGATGCACCCTCCAAGGCACCGTCCAGCGTGTCCTGACATCCTGATTCCTAGCTTCGCTGCCATCTTGACCCTCTCAAACCCTCCCCATCCACCCATCACCCCCTCCTTTCCACAGCTGCCCAACCTTCAAGATGGCGACCGTGGAGGCGCTGCTGAAGCGCATCAAGGCGGTGGCGTACGAGCTGGGGAGGGGCTGGCCTGGCTGTTCAAGAAACCCTTCCGCAAGCTGCGTTACTGAGCCTACCTGTGGTGGGGTAAGGCCATCAACAAGCTGGCCGAGCAGTTCTGCGCCCCCCCCGGTAAGGTGACCGTTGCCGGCGTCGGCAAGTGCTCTGCCCAGGACCGGGGGGGGTCATGCGGAGGGCCCCGCCAGGGCCCTGGACGCGGGTCTTGCGGCGCCTGCGGCGGGTGTGCAAGGTGGTATTGGTGGACGAACACAGGACGAGCAAGCTGTGTTGTGCCTGTCACGCCACCTTGCACACCCACCAGTACGAACGGGTGCGGCGAGGAGTGCTGGAGACGGGAAAGTCTGGGGGACCAAGCGGTGCACCAACAGGGGCTGCACAGTCAACGTCGTGAACCGCACCGTCAACGCGGCGGTGAACATGCTCATGCTGGTCAAGCTCTTCCTGGCCAGCCTGCCGCGCCCCATGGCTTTCGGAGGGCCCCCGCCCCCCGTTCCTTCCACTCCTGTTCCTCCAACCGCCCCACCCTCTATGACGGTTCGCCATCGTGGCAACCGTTTGCGCATGAGTACCATCCTCGGAAGGTGTTATGCAGCTGGACCGCCCGGCAGGGAGAAGGGGCCTCGATCTTTCTTTTTGTTGCATGACGTGCCTTCTTCCCCCTCCCATGAAACGTGCATGGCACTGGTCCAGCCTGTTCAGAAGTTCAGGACAGCCCCATGTTTGAGCAAGCCAGAGGAACACCGCACTCCTCCTTACGGGACGCACGCTTGCGCAAACAGCTCGACCAAACCGACAGTTTCTAGCTCCCGGGCCCGCATGTTGTCGGGCCAGGCTGAGCGCCTGCTCGTCCCGGCACCCCTCTCCCGTCGGGGCGACCGGGCCTTCTCCCGTCGCACCATGGCGGGTCCCACCCATCCCCACGCCTCCGGGAGTCGGAATGGGCATCTGCATGGCGTGGCGGAGCCAACTCCCTTGGCCACAGCGGCAGAACTGAACAGCTTGCGGCGAGAGGTGGAGGAGCTCCGACAGCTCCTGTGGGCCCACCAGCAAGGGGCCCACGCATGCCCCACCCCCAATACCACCCGGCAAATAGAGTCGGGCATGCCGGATCGACGGGAGGAGGGCATGTTTGACTCCCGCTTTCACAGCACCTCCTCGTGAGTCGGATTGGCTGGGGGATGGTGTGATCCTGGTCAAGGCTGCAGGTCTGGCCGTCTGATGCCTTGCAGTTGTGGGGTGTCGAGTATGTTGTGGGGAATGCTTGGGGAGCTACCATCACGGGTCTCTGATTGGAATTGGCCTGCCAGCACTGGCACGGTGGGCACCAGTGTTCTGCAGTGCATGGTGCGGCGCTGTGCACTGCTCCACCCCCTGCTCCCACCTCACCACCATCTCCCTCGCCCCCTGGTGCCGTAGGGGCGCGACCCCCCGCGACTTTCGCACCCTGCCCATCCGCATCGTCCTCATCCGGCATGCGGAGAGCGAGGGCAACGTGGACAACATTGCCTACACCTACCTGCCCGACAGCAGGGTCCCCCTGGTGAGGGGTGCCAGGGGTTGAGTGCACCAAGTTTTCGTACGGGCACCCCAGGGGCGGCAGCACATGGCCAGGCCCGAGCCTGGCCAGCGCCCCGCTCGCCCCTCGGCATTGCAGGGCCGCCAGGCCTTTCTTCCCGGCTCGCTGGCCCATGCCCGGCCCGGGTGCCTCAGACATGCCCACCGTTCCCTTGGCCACCCCCCCCCCCCCCCAAACGCACAGACGACGTACGGCTGGCAGCAGGCGCTGACCGCTGGCGAGCGCGTGCGGGAGGTGAGCTCCGGCGACGCGCACCCGCCGCGCCTCTTCTTCTACACCTCGCCCTACCTGCGCAGCAAGCAGACGTTTGAGGGCGTGGCGGCGGCCTTCGATCCGGGGCAGATCATGGGCGCGCAGGAGGAGGTGCAGCTGCGGGAGCAGGACTTTGGCAACTTCCAAGACGCGGAGGGGAAGCAGCGCGAGAAGGCGGAGCGCCTGCGCTTCGGCCGCTTCTTCTACCGCTTCCCCAACGGCGAGTCGGGGGCGGACGTGTACGACCGCATGACCATCTTCGAGGACCATCTGGTGCGTGACATAAACGCCGGCCGCTTCGGCCCGGACGCCACCCTGGTCCTGGTGACGCACGGCCTGGCGTTGCGCATCTTCCTCATGCGCTGGTTCCACTGGACGGTGGAGGAGTTCATGGGCGTGTTCAACCCCCCCAACGCCGAGCCGCTGGTCCTGGAGCGGGTGGTGCACGGCGGGGAGGCCACGCCCGGGGGGCCCGCCGCCTGGATCCACA